AACTAATAGCGGGGCAGGAGGCCCCCCCTGTTTTTTTCCCCCCGAGCCGCTTTCAGCGATTTTCCCCCTCCAATAGTTTACAAGATTAGTCCCGGCTGTCCCCTTCCCGCGAAATGCCGCCCTTGTGGCGCCCCGGACCCGGGTTCCCCTTCAGGACCCCCGGGGGGGGGGCGGGGACAATCAGGGCAGCCGCCCTTTGGGGGCCTTCAGCCGGGGGAGGAAAGCCCCCCGGGAGGTTTGGGGCAGCCCGCGGGTTCTGGAATTCTCGCAAAGCAATCACGTTCTGGAGGAAGAACTGGGCTTGGTCGAGCTGTTTTGGCCCAAGCGTTTCCCCTTATGGGGTATATGGGGGGGGGGGGGGGCGGCGACGCGCAATCGCGGTTATGGATGCTGTGGCATTCAGCCGCAGGGTTTGAACAAGTCCTGCAACGTCTACTTGTATCTCACGCGTTTGACCTTGAGAGGAGCGTTTCGCACAAGGAACTCTTCAAGATGAACATTTGTTGACAAGAGGGTGCGTGTGTGTGTGGTTCCATAAGCTGGCATCGACATCGCCAACCGGCTGACCAATAAAAACGCTAGTCAAGTACGTTGGCCAGCCCGCTGTGTGTGCTTCATACTCCTGCAGCGAGTAAGCTGCCAGGCCGACCAATGAAGTGCCTCAAAATTTTTCTGTGCTGGGTGGGTGGTGTTGAGGGTCATGCGCGCCCGTAGATCAATACAGAAGGATGCCTCGAATCTCTGCCAATCCGCGGGACAGAGCTCGTCGGGTTATCGCCAACCAGGCAGAAAGTACTCAAAGGGTAGGGTGGCACAGACACTAGGACGTGTTTCCATACGAGCAGGAGTGACGCCCAGACCAATTTGTTGTAACATACGGGAAAAACGACAAACGGTGATCCTCTCCTACGCCCCAAGACTCCACAATAGACAAAACGTAAAGCCCGAACATCACCAGAGCAGGACCAAGGCCGCTAAAGTCGTGTACATCGCGTTGCCAGCACAACTGAAGCAGACACACTAAATACTCTTTCCCTCGATGTCGGCCGCGCAACGTTTTCCTGCGGAGGGCGGGTATGCCAGATCACTCACCGACACCATGATGCTCAGAATGTTTCGGTTTCGAACGGCCCTTAGTATCGCCGCGCGTCGTATCTTGGCCAACATCCACCTGGCGATTGTCGCGACTCCCCAGGCGCGTCTACTCGCCACTCTTCTCCCTTGTCGACCCCGCTCACACCTAAAGCGCGTGACGCCAACGGGTGACGTAAGACAACACCCCTCCTTGCATCATCCACGCTAGACGTGTCAGCTCGGGGGCCCGTGGCTGACACCTAGTCCGCGTAGTGTATATATCGGAATTCGAACCACGGTGGCGGGACCTAGGACCACAATCTAAGAAGAAGTGACTGTCTATCCGGTGTGAAATGGGGCAGGTAGTTTCTAGGCGTCGTTCCACAGGTGTTTCGTTTTTGGGATTAACTTGATGTTTGTGGAGAAACACGCTTGGGAACAATGCTCCACTGTCGAAGGACGGCGTTAGAATAAAGAGCAACGCGGCCCCAGCAGTAAGGCCTCGCTCCTCCATCTATTTGCATGTGACAGGACCGAATAACTGTCACGAAGTACCGCAAGCCAAATATCACAAAGGTATAAGCGCAGAAAATCCATTTTGAACACGTATCCTGGTGTTCATGCAGCATCACTTTGAGGTGAACTGATGAGCAAGACAATGCAGACCGTGGTTCGGGGTCAAGAGACGTGTGTAGTGGTGCCATAGAGGGACTGGAGTTTGGAAACGTTGCCATCGTGAGAAAAGCTGCTTCCTTCGTCATCCCCACCGTCACGAACGTTCTAGTGAACGATACGCGCGAGCGGTATGCACACGGGCCTCGTTTTGAAGGCGATAATCCTCTCGCTCCTTCCGGACTTGGATTCGACAGAAAAGTTTCGCTGCTAGCGCCCGTCTCTCGGTCAATGGCGCGGCCAGCGCACACACCAATCCGTTCGAGCCAGTTTCGCCCTCGTCCGTACGCGCACCTGGGGTGTGAGTGGCCCAAGATTCTGAGAAATTCTTAGATATTTGCACTAACACCCAATGCTAGTACCGGGGCACCTTTGCAGCGTCAACACGCTGGCCTCAAGCCTCGCGGCGAACTCCATTCTTCTCCTATCCCTGTCTAGCTTGCGCTCTCGTGCCCTCCTTCGCAGTTCTTCGATGGCATCGAGGCGTCGAATAGCCTGCTTGCGGTGTTCGTATCGCGAAGAGCGATCCACGCCATGCACACAAAACAATGAAGAGCTTGTTAAGGTTAACGCGGGTAACTTGACGGGGGCAGGGTAGACAATGAACGGCGTGAAGAATGAAAGTGTTGGTTGGCAGGTGCTGTGCAATAATATTCAATGCACCCACAGGGGGGCGCACACAGGAGATGGGCCGTTTGTCGCTCCCAAAATGATGCCAGTCCCGCCGATCGATGCAGACCGGCACGAGGAACGTTTCCCAACCAACAGCGACTTGGCCTACTTCAGGCACCATCACCCTAGCATCTACCTGCCAGAAAACTAGAACCTACCAAGCAATGCCAACCTACCAAAGCTGCAGAAGCTTATCACAAAGCTTGTCCCATCAACGCTAACCTAGAACCTACTCCGGCAACACCATTGTCCCATCAGCTCTAGCCTAGCACGTATTACCGGCAAAGTAAACTAGTCAAGTTTTTTATCCGCCCAACGCCGACCTAGCCGTCACGTGCAGTTTTGTGGTTAGAGTTAGGGCTAGGGTCAAGGAAAACCCTGTTTTTCATGCGCCGGCCACAGCCTAAGAAACATCAAACGGAAGTACACAGCAATGTGTGTGTCTTTCTTATTAACATCGACCGCGTTAACCTCTGACCAATGAAAACACGTCAGTCTCAGTGCGGTGGAAAGCACAAAATGCTTCTAAGGCGCCGATCTGGGACCCTGTGACCGAACATCATGGGGGAATCTACGCTACTCTCCGGATTAATGACGGATACCGTAGCAATAGGAGAAGAAAACTGCACGTGTTTGCCATGGCTGCTACTACTTTGCATGCCCGTGCATTTTGCATTGTTTCTATCGTCGGCCTACCGCCACTCTCGTTGCCAGTATTCCCACTACGTCTTGGCAGATCCTCTCCTGTCCTGCGGCGTTTGTTGTGAGGAAGGCCGTCTGATTCAAGCCCTTTGCTCTTTTCCACTCCATGTTTTCCTCCTCCATCAGCACCTTCATTCTCCGTTCTATCATTTCCCGTTCTTTCATCATCGTCACTCTCAAAAGAATTGCCCTCCAAACCGTCGTTATCGCTTTCACCAGAGCTACTACTGAAATCCCAACCTATTGGCCGTGGTGGAATTGGTCGTTCAGTACTTCATGACGTTTGAAAGCATCACGAGTTCGTACCGACAGAAAACGGGTCGAAGGTGAACCGTCTCCGAATTCTATAAGTATGGTAAGCCTTCAGGCGAAGCAAGGCTGTTTCATCGTCGAAATCCCCCTGGCAAAATGCCTCGTAGGCCAGATTGGAGATAGCTAGGGTTAATCGATTGGTGCCTTGGCCAAGACTACCGTACCTTGAAAAAGCACCAGTAAGGAGGGTAGGTCTAGACGGGTTGACAGTTGAAAGTTCCCGCGCATGCATTACTTGCTGCTCGATCTTCGAGGGCGGGTCCTGAAGTTTGGATCGACTTGTCGATGCTTCGATTTGTACATGGGTTGACCATTGTGACAACATTGTGTGTATTAGCACCGACTGCGCCAACCGCGGCTGACCAAAAGACGTCAGTCTCAGTGCGATTGAAAACAGAAAAAACTTCAAAATACCATGCACTGGGACCCCGTGAGGGGGCCGCATGGGGGGGGCTAAGCTATTCACCGGAATAAAGACAGAAACGGTAGCACGTGTCTATCAAGGTTACTACCTTGCACTCGAGTTCGTTTTGGAGTCATGTCACCATCATCCTCCTTGCTTTCACCACCATCACTCTCATCTTCATTTTTACAGCTACATTTTTCGTCAGTTCTTCTCTAGTCCTGCATCGCTTGTTGTGGGGAAGGTCATCTGGCTTGAATCTCTTGATTTCTTCTGCTCCATGCTTCCCTCCTCCATTGCTGTTTTGGTCGTGCCCTTGTCCTCCAGTTCCCTCTCCTCCTTAATTTGTTGCCACCATCATCGTCTTTTTCTCCACTACTACTGAAATCCCACCCTATTGGCCATAGTGGAAATTGGTCGATATGTAGTCAATGGCGTTTGAAAACATCACGAGTTCGTTTCGGCAGAAAACGAACCAGCTCGAAGGTAAACCGTTTCCGAGTCCTGTTGGAATGATAACCCTTCAGGCGAAGCAAGGCTGTTTCATCGTCGAAGCCCCCCCTCCAAAAAGCGTCGTAGCTAGAACACGATTAATCGATTTGTGCCTTGGCCAAGACCACCATACGTTGACAAAGCAGCAGTAAGGAGGTGTGGTAATCCCATCTACCTATTCTGACGCCGGTTTGCACACCTTTCGGTGTGCACTGGTGGCGAATCAGCGGGGGTCGCACATAAGGAAGGTCACAGAACCTTTGTACCAGCACTTGGTGTAGTGTCCTGTCAATTGGCGGTCCCCATGGGTAAAAGGATAGAGAGCCACCCTGACTTGGGGTAGGACGTAGGTTCGAGGCTGATAGCATTTTCTCCTTGGTTGTTTCCCTGTAGACTATAGGGTGTATTTACCGCCAATATCGCGTTTTGGATCTGGTGCCTTCCTACAGCATTTATTTTCGGCATATTTCGTCTTCTAAATCTCGGTCGTTCATACTATCTTTGGTTGTTAGAATTGTGTACATCAGTAGCGGTTAGGTGGGAGAGGGCCGGGCCAAAACAACTTTATCTTACCATACTTTTATGCGTATTGCTTCGTATGTCATTCTCTTGGCGGGGACAGGCCCTTTATCTCTCTGTAGCCGCTACGGTAAAATATCCCCTTCGGCAGTTGGTCTGTTGCCACGGAAGATAACCTTATCAGTTGTCCCGATACGGATGTATGAAGGTATGAGACCGGAATAGTTTTTCAATGTGAAGACGCCCAACAACAACAGGAACAACGATGACGGCGACGACGACAACAACAGGTCATCAGTAGTCTAGAAGGTTGGAAGTCGCGATGTAGGCGTGACGTGCCAAGACTCTCCTGCGGTTGAAGGCAGTCACACTCATCATGAGTCAGTCGCGATGTTCGTGCGGGAAGCTTGGTTAAACATGTGGTACAACGAGATCATTGGCGGTGTGTTGCTGCGAACAGCGTACAGCACGTCCTCCTTGACGCAACCCCGCCTTGGTGTAGTGGGCGCAATGTCCCTTCGGATTCGATTATGCGACTCACCTCCTCTACTCGTCGACGTTCCAATTCCTGTTCTCTCTCCAACAAGGCCCATTTGTATTGGTCCAAATTCCGTCGCCTCGCCACTACCACCGGCATGGCGGCGGCCGCCGGTCTTGGCCGTTTTCCTACTCGCCGCTGCTGTTGCCCACCTCCTCCCTCATCCGTAAGAACTTTCAGGGGAGGAGGCGAAGCGGCGACGGACGCCATCCTGCCTCTCTCCCCCTAGTTTTTACCTTGTGGTGAAATTGTCCGAACGACCACGGCGTGTGTGATAGGTACCATGCACGCCGCCTTTCATGTCTCGCCGCATTTCTCCCTTCTGATACTCTCCGCAGTCTGGACTGTGACCAACGACGAAATAGACTTCAATAGGACCGGAAGGTTCCTCGCAGCTGGTCCCTCGGAATATGGTTGTGTTTTTATGTTGAACGTTACAGGCGCAATGCGAGGCGGCGAGTTTGATGCGATCCGAACCGTTTGGAAAACCCAACCGGGGTATGCTGGTGTATCCCAGCCGTCGAACCCCAGACGGTTGTTGCGGGCAGCCACAGCAGGCAGCTGCGGCGACACAGCGACACGCACCAGCATACACGCGGAACTGCTCTAAGCAGGGAGAAGGGGAACGCATGGCGGCGCGATACTCTGGAAGATCGCTGGGCACCACCCGTGCCAACGCGGCAGTTGCAATGTTTCGCCAGGGGCTTGGGCGAGCTGTGTGGGGTGCAGCGGCCGGGATAATGATTCTCGTGTGCTGCGCGAGGCCTGCGCTTGGCAAGGAGGTCAAGGGGTTGTCCTTCTACCCTCCGTTCCAGAGCTTCAACGCTAGAGGTATGGCATGGTGTAAGATGTGTGGCGGTCGTGCCTCTGTCTTGCGTGTGCGTTTTCTCCCCTGCAGGTTGCCTGCTGAGAGTGTTTTGTGGCGATTGTTCCGAAAAGCTTGCAAAAGGCTTGTGATGCTCCGCTATTCGGGTCGTCCGGTGCACACAGCTCTCCGCATTGCGCCGTCCACACACTTGCTAGCGTCTAGTGTATCCAGAAGGGTTTCTGCACAGCAACCCAGCTCATTGTAGCCTGTCGGGCAGAGCAACGGTAGCAGCAGCGCCTAACGAGTCAACCATTTACAGCGCAAGCATTGGTGGAAGATACTTCGGTGCACTTGCAGAAGCAATATCTAGCCGGTGAATCGAGAACAAACAGCAAGCGGTAACTCACCCTGTGCGTAGGCGGCCCTTAGCTTCAATACTGCGGTTACTAAGACACCCAACACCTACTGTTGTGTCCCTCAACGTGTTCAACGCAAGGCTTTCTGCAACCTTCAGCATCCACAGCCGTTCTTCAGAAAACACATGGAACTTACCAACACCATACAACACATGTTGAGAGAGAGAGCGAGATCGTTCTCAGCTGTTTCTTTTGAATGTGGCAAAGCATCCGAACTTATTTATCCACCGCAAGCAATATATGGTCGAAATGAACCCCCCGTTGTGCACATGATCGAGGGTGTAGATGGATCTCTAGCGGTTCCACAAATTTCGTGCCTGCAGGCCTAACGGAAGGTGCGTCTTGTACAATCGATCGCAATCGATGATGCTTCACTTCGCGTACTGCTGTGTTGTATCCGTTGAAATTCAATTCGGGCACAAGACAATTGGTGCCACCCCTTCACTACTGTACACCTGTATTGGGCAATCAACCCCTTATGATGTGCAAGCCTCGTACGTACGGGGGGGGGGGGGGGGTGTACTCATAGTCGTGCATGCCGTAGTCGTTTGACCATTGACCTCGCATCCCTACAAAGCCGGGACGGAGCACGCCGGGTTCTCACCGGACCAGGCTCTCACATCACCAAGCGCGAAGCGCCGTGAGGTATTTGGCGAGTCGCATGAAGGGTGAGCTGCCATCCTGCTAAGGGTGTTCGGCATCTTGTGCTTACTTCCTTGCGTACGGATGACAGCTACGTATGACTTGACGTACGGGGGGGGGGGGGGTTCAAACTCAACCTACGGTAACCCGGTCGGGCTTTGAACCGCGGGCTGCACTCACTCGTTACGGATAATCCTACATAACGAGGCGTTTTTTTTTTCTCGCGAGTATACATGTTGTACAAGGATCCCTCTTTTCCGTGTGGAACTCCCACTTGCTTCTGTAGCTGCCAAACACCCCCAACGAAAGGAAAAACAAAATAAATGGCGTCTGAATTTTTATCTCCTGATTTTCCCCAAGCCCGTGTGTCCAGGGGACCGGACAGTTAGCGCGTTCAACCCCCTCGGCGCCCCTGCGGCGAAACAAAACTTCCTCAGGTTGACCCCCGACGCCAAGGAACACTTCCGATCCCTGTATAGCCCCCTCAGCGGCCGCTTCAGTGAAGGTGCGCGGCGGTGGTAGTCGAATTGGTAATAGGGGTTTGTTTGTTGTCGGGTTTTGTTTTATTTTGGGGGCGGTTTCCTGTGGTGATGGCGGCGGGAGGGCTGTTGTGGCAGGGTGTTGGCGTTGTTGGTGGTTTTCGAAGGCTTGTTGCCATGTGTATTGGATAAATAGCGGTTCGTGTAAACAGCGGTCGCTGTTGGTTTCGAAATTGAAGGGGCTTGCTTGGCATCGCGGCCTGAACGGACATTTGAAGCCGACGCCGACGGCGCGCAACTGCGAAACACGGTGTGTCACTCTCGCCCCTTCTCTCTCTCTCTCTCTTTCTCTCTCTCTCTCTGTCTGCCTGTCTGCCTGTCTCTCTCCCTGTCTCTCCCTCTCCTCCATCTCTCCCTCTCCCTCGCCCCCCCCTCTCTCTATTTCTCTCTCTCTCTCTGTACCTTTCTTATTGTGCTTTGTTCTTATTTTGCAGGGCCGGTCGGAGGGGAGTTTTCTCTTACTATGTCGTTTCGGGTAAGCGGGGATGAGGAAAAGACCCACGGCAAGTATCTCGCCGTAATTCTCGGCAACCCGGATATGATTCGGAGAACAGGTGGGTCGGGGCTCGGGTAGTTGCCATTACAGAACGCGAGATCAAACCATTAGACTGGTCACCGCTGACCAGTCGAGGTGAATGGTTTGATTTGGTCTTCTATAGATACAGCGGTCGTGCTGGCCATAGCTTGTTGTTGCTGTTGTTGTTGTTATTGCCACTGTTGTCTTGTGTCGTCTCGTACGATAGTGTTGTTTCCCTTTCGTTCACGTGGTGCTGGTACTTCCCACCTCTCGTTGTGTTGCTCGGGGAACGACAGGGAAGCTGAACAGGAAATCTCCCTGATGCACAGCTTTCGTATTCGCAGCAGAAGGCCATGGCCGCAAGTCTCTTTTCAGTTGCTGTCATGGTAGCAATGCGCGCATTCGTGTAGATTTTTGTCATCACTGAACTCTCATCGCCCCCCCCCCCCCCCCCAAAGAAGAAGGGCCGTTTTTGGGTCCTGGTCCTGAAAAATGGGCTGGGGCCGGGAAAACTCCACATATCCCCCCCTCCCCACCTTTGAAGGGAGCCAGTTTTTTCCACAACCGGATGGGTTTACATGTTGTGGACCCCCCCCCCACGCCCGCGATGCCCTATTTTCCCCCCCCGGAAGGGAAACAAACCGGGGCCCCCAAAAATTCCTCCGCGTCCGGGTTTTGATTTTCCCCCCCCCCCCCCCCGAATTTTCGGAAATTTTCGGTGGCCCCCTCCCTGCTCCCGGTCCCCCAAAGTGAGTGGGAAGAAAAAT